GGGGGTAGATAAAACAGAAAAGGAAACAAAGCGCAAAGATCTATTTCATGTGGCTGCTTTCTAGTGAACTATACGGCTAGTCAATAAAAACACGGTGTACTACTGGCGTCTGTGGCTTGACGGTAAAGCTCGTCGCCGTTGTACCAAGAAAGTGAATTCAATTCCCCTTAGATGTGAAGAAGTTGGGTTTTTTTTTTTTTGATCAAGAATCTTCGTCTGTCTGTTGCGACGTTGTTTCCCTCTCAGGCCAAGCTGGCTATGATAGACAGGATCGAAGCATGATCTAAAGTATGTCACGGAGGACGTAAAACATTTACAATACTTCACACTGTTTTCGTCAAACGTTTAATTTCGCGAACAGTACATGTATTGTTAGATTTTTGGCTAATGAATGCACAAAGTTTAGAAAAATAACGCTCACAGGGTGTAACGAGTCCTTCGGTGTTGTTGGACGGTCTAAACACCTAAGATCCTGGCGTGATTTAGCAACAATCAAGATCCTCTTTATAGAGCGGCAGATCTCAACTTTTGTCTTCTATTTTAATTTTTGCAAAATACTACTGAAAGAAGTCGACAACAAAAGTAACATTTGGGAGAAAAACCACGAGGAGTTCATGAATGAGACAGAATTACATGTACCGTGCCTATCTAAGTTAAAGGGGCGCCTTGAAGCGGTACCGAACAACGCTGTAGATCTCTCTATGAATCAACGATCGTACATAACAAGATAGTTCACTCAGCCAAGAAATGTCGACGGAAGTCCGCGCATTGGTTCAGATGGCGCTGCACTCTTTGTTTTGAAGCTCTCTTTCGTTTCTTCAAAAGAAATATAGGAATAGCACAGTTTTGTTAATTTTACTTTTATTGTTTTTCTCACAAGTGGGGTAACTCTGTTCGGAAAGCCCGCTCTTTTTCGAAGAGGGCGCCACCATAGGAGTGAACTATCTTGTTATACACGATCTTTGCTATGTATTCACAGGAGTCTGCAGTCTTTGGAAAAAGGCGCTCTCGGTTTTTTGGGCATGTGGAGTTATTGGTATCACCTTAAAGTTTGTTTATCTGCATTGCCTTCGATGTACAAAATACCCATTTATCTTAAATAGAAGTCGAGATATCCGCAATTGAAGGAGGTGGAGGTCGCACCGTTTAAGAGATTAATTTAGCGGGAAAATGGCCAACAAAGCGTGGTTATTTCCCATTTCAGTAAAATCCACACAGAAATGTGTTCTTTAATTTGAATAGACATGAAAAAATGTTGGGCCAAACATTTTTTTAAAAATCGATAAGAATAGCCAAATTGGGGGGAAAATGCCAGTTTCTTCAATTTCATTATTTTGACGAGTGTGTGATTTCACCACACTGTGTCACATTTTAGTTTGACGTACAGTATAGTAAGCGAAAACGTACAACTACAAAACATCTTTTGGAACGTGGCTAAATAACGTGAAGCTTTTGTTGTAAGTCTAGTTTACTGTACATTGATGGCACTACATAGACTAGGATTTTGGGTAGTGTTATCTTTTACTATAATAAACCTGTGGAATGGGGTTTTTTTTCACTTGCACTTGGTAGCGTATTTGTTGGAAAATGTCTTCGTTGTGGGTGTGCCTTGTTTAAAAAAAAAAATGATAATACTTTTTTTCGGAGCAGTGCAAGCCCCTGTTTCACCATCAAGACCACCATCTCCACCAATAACAATGGCAACACCTCCAGCAACAACAACATCTTCAGCAACAACAACAACGCCTACAACAACAACACCACTGACAACAACAAAACCACCAACATCACCACCAACAAGAACAACAACACCACCGCCCAAGTGTGAACTTCTCGCCGACATCATCCTGGTCATGGACTCCTCTGGGAGTATCAACAGGAACTACGACCGACAACTGGATTTTGCCGCTAACCTAACACAGAACTTTGACCTGGGACCTGACGATGTCCGTTTTGGAGGTGTCATTTTCTCGGACACAGCTGAGAAACTTTTTGATTTGAAGGATTACTCTGATCATGAGAACTTGTCACAAGTACGATTTCTGCTCTTACTTCTTTTTGAATATAAAATACACAATCAAAGCGGTGGCTGCACAATTCTGTCTGCTCTTAATTCCGATTCCTTTGCTTCGTTATTTTGCATATTATTAATATTATTATTATATCAGCAATGCTGACCCCCCCCCCCAAAAAAAAAGCCCCACAAAAAGGTGTATTGTAAGAGGCACTGAGGTTGAATAACAAACAATTTAAAAAATTACTCTTGCCGTATTTAAGCTGTCCTTGCTCCGACTTTTGAAGGGTTAAACTTGTTGACAAAGTGAAATAATACATTTTTTCCATGGCCGTTTAAAGCAAATTCTGCTATCGTCTCTGAAGCTTGAACAGATGGGTGACCTACAAAACCAACCATAACATCAAATTTTAGTTGAATCGAATGCTCTGATCTGAAATGGATAAAATAAAAAATATACGCTGTGTATACTTTTACCGCATCCGATATTTCAGGCCATAAAGAAAGCCAAGTATATGGGCAAAATGACAAGTACCGACTTAGCCCTGACTATGGTGGCACACGGGATGTTTGAGAAGGTGAATGGAGGACGAGACAACGCTCGGAAAATAGTCATCGTCATGACAGACGGTGAATCTACTTTCAGAGACAAAAGTAAGTAAACTAATGTAAGACAAAACATTGGAGATGCTGTTACACGTATCACAAAGAGTGAAATACGTGTATATGAACTGTTTTGTTCCAAGACAGTTGTTACAATAATTTATAACGACTGACTCCTACAAATCCTTATAGCGGGTGTTTGGCGGGTGCTCTCAGTCTGGTGTGGTTTGCTCCTTTCCTATCAAACATCTATCCTCCTTCCTTTTTGTGTTTGTTACTCTCTTGTAACACCTCTAATCTTCGGCACTTATTTGACTTTATATTAATTGTGTTAAAATTGGCCGCATGGGTGGTTGGTGGGTGCTCTGGTGTAGTTTGCTCCTTCTTTCCTATCGAACATCTATCGTCCTTATCTCGACTCTTTCTTTTTTGTGTATGTTACTCTCTTGTAACACACATCTTTCTTCGGCACTTATATGACCTTATTGTGTAGCAAGTGCTATAAAACACTTACTAAAACTAAAATTGGCTGCACACAAATCGGAATAAGGGGCTCTCGTGGCCAAAAGGTTAAGGTGTTCCCTTTTCATTCAAAAGGTCCCGGGTTCGAACCCCGGTAGCGACCGAAAACTTTTCTTCTCTCTAAAATTGTCTCCTTTGACTTCCTTTCCTGCTCTCTTCCAATGTTCTGTCGTCTGCGTTCGTCTTCACTTTCTCCCTCCATCCCTTCACCTCCTTTGCCCCCTCCTCTAGGCTCGAGACTCTTTCTGCAGCCTTTCTACAGCTACTCCTTGGCTCTTTCTTACTGCTGTCTTTCAGACACACCCCTGATTTTGTGGTAGGTAAGATCTAGCCTTCTCGGACAAGGGCGAAAAATCTCGGAGGTCCTGTGTGCAAGTTGAGCACGTATAAGACCCCTTGGCGATTTAAAATCGATAAGAGTAGGCTTCGGCCGCCACCCGCGAAAAATTCAAAATTTCCTACCAACTGAAAATGTTTAATGTGTCCCGTGCGCTCATATACATGTATGGCCTTATGCAGTTGCGAGCGCCGTAAAACACTTACCAAAGGGGAAAAAAAAGAAAAAAGGGAGGAATGGCCTTCTGTTGGATCGCCGTCAATTTGAGGGCATAATCTCATAGCTAACCTAGATAATGCTTCAACTGAATTTCAAATAACACTTCCGTTCTTGAAGTACATCATTACATGTTTCCCCCCCCCCAATTCTATTCAAGCCAAGACGGCCGCTGACAAGTTAAAGAAGCAGGGGGTCACCATCATATCCATCGGTATCGCCGACGCTAAAGAACAAGAACTGAAAGACATTGCGTCGGGACCTGATGACGTGTTCCAAGTGGCGGGCTTCAGCGCTCTAGACAGAATAGCCAACACCGTAGCCGACAGGACCTGTCATGGTAAGAACAGTTACTAAACTGGACCATATAATAGGTACTATTGTAGTACATGTATACAAATCTAAGAAATTTGGCACCTTTACAGTTCTTTTTTTCTTTTTCTAGAAATAGAAATACCTTAGTAAACTCGCACAAAAAAGTCAAGACACAAAAATTCAAAGAAAGATTTTTTCCAAAAAGATGCTTTCGACTCTATAGATTAAGTGTGTACAATTTCAGATTTTAACAACAACGGGCAAATTTGCTGTACCAGTACAGGCAAACTGTGTCTGGTCGTCAGTGCGTGTGCCAAGTTGGGTTGACTGATCTCAACGGGTTTGTGAGATGTTGAAGTTTAAATTTGACAGGGGAAAACATAAGTTGTTCCATGACTTTTTTGGGCGAGTTTACTTTGCAGACATTTACTTATAATCTTTTAAAGTCTATGCCTAAACCTATAGGTTTATGTGGCATCACCATTTAGTAAGACATATATAGACCAATGGGTTGTGAAAATTGAATTAGCTGTTGTTGTTGCTTACCTCATATCCAAGCCGTGTAAAAACGCATGACAGCACACAGAAGTCAAATGCAACGTCAAAAACACAGTGAACGTTTACCATTATAGAAATCAATGGAGGAATGTAATCCTCAGAGAGAAGTTGATATCAAAAAAGCATTTGACGAAATTAAGACTTCAACAAAAGTTAGCAAGCCTCATGTTACTGAGCTCTGATTACATGCATGATGTGCCGGTACTGGCATATAGACATCCGGACACACACAGACACACACACACTCACATACAGACACACACACACATACACACACATGCACACACACATACACACACACACTCACACCACAGATACACATATACTCACACACACACAGATACACACACAGACACACACACTCGCACATACACACACACACACACACACACACAAACAAACATAAACACATAGAGGAAACAATAAATGTACACATTTAATAAAGTTTTTCTTAAGTGTACAAGTCCAAAGTATGTATTATGCTTTTTACAGGATAAGTTTGAGAAAGAATGAAAAATCTACAAAATGTCTCAACTGGTTTAGCGAAAGGCAAAAATCAAAACATTTTTTCTGAAATACAAAAGCCACATGATAGGCTCCAAGCTGATATCGTATATACTTAAAATACTGACTGGAACAGAAACATGTACAATACAAATCATGTTAAGTGATATTTTACATTTTTGCAAATAGCCAGTGTTTGGAGCTTCTGTCACAACATTTTTGGGATTCATTCAAATTTCAGCTTAAACACTTTAACATCTAACTGTAATTGTCATTTTTTTGTTTCTTTTGCTTCTCTTCAGATTCTACTCCAAGTAGGCCTACAGTGTAACCTCAAGAGCAACAGTGCATATGAGTGAATGTCAATAAAAATTGTAAACAGCTTGAGAGTGACTTTTGGCTACATTTCATACTTGCACAAAATATGCACACATATGTGTGTGTATGTGTATGTGCTTGTGAGGGGGATATGATGTGAAAAGATCAATTCATTGTCGTATTGAGAATACGCTATCTTCAGATAAGCATGTCATGAAAAATAACGTTTTCATTCAGTTCAGGCTCCGACTAGTATAGCCTTCTATCAACAACTGATGCTTTCTTCACTGAATTTTAGATTAATAAAAATAAAACACAAAATTAAAACAAACTTTTTATAATTAATACAGATGCAATGAACATTATATTAAAAATAGAAATATAATTGTAACATTAATTCCAGCCTCCAAAAAGTTATTGCAAATGCTGATAAAGTGAGGAAAGTAAAGATATACAAAAACTTTGAAAGACGTTAACGTATAAATCTTCATAAACATCACCATGGAGGTAATTGAGGTCAACCTTTTGAGAAATTAACACAGCCATTCTTCCTCCAATAGGCTATACATTCCACTCTATCCACTTTTCTTTTCCTCCTTTCCCTGTCTCTCTCTCTGTCTATTCATTTATACGTTTGTTTCTCGCTCTCTCTCTCTTTCTCTCTCTTTCTCTCTCTCTCTCAGGCTCTTTCTCTCTTTCATACACACACACACATACGCACACACACACATATGCATGCACCACGCATGCACACATATAAAAAAAGATACATGCGTACATAGGCAAAAGCTCACAGACATATACACACAAAAAACCGCTATCTTATCCAGTTCTAATCCTTTGTCGTCTAAGTCTACGGTACCACTATTTATGTCAACATATCAAATCAGCACACTTAAACTGTAGTGGCGGCGGTATGTCCTTCGAGAACAGCACATACTTTCAGACTTTATTCAACTTCAAAACTTTCGATCTCTCTTCCTAACACTTTCCCCACTCAAAACAAGCCCATAATATCAGAAAATATGAAACAATGTAGGCCTATCTTATAATGTACGATTTAAAAAACATATTTCAAAATTGTTTCTTGCATTTTTCAAAACTATAGCAATGTTACACCTTCCAACAAACAAACAAAAAAAGTGTAAAATTCCCACATAAAATGGATATTAGTCTATTATATTATATATGTGTGTGTTCCCTCATATTATTATGCTGCCCAATAGATATAGGTTAAGTAGAAAAGGAATGTACTATTCTTGAAATTTGAAAAAAAAAAGAGAATTTAAGAATTGAAGCAAACAAATCAACATGAATACACTTTAACAACAGCTGAAATCATCCTTTGAATGCTTAAAATTTATACAATAACAATACCATAAAAATATACTCTTCTCATCTTCCCCCCCCCCCCCTCCCCCTCTGATTTCCTATATCTTCTTTTCCTCAAAGCATAGAAGGCAAAATTATTGGGCATCCATCATTTTAAACCAGGCTTATCTGTATTGTGAATATGAAAACAGTTTAGGTACAGTACTTAATTCATTTATTGGTAACAGTTTAGTATAAAGCACCCCATTACTTCCCAGCTGTTTCCTGTTCCATCAAAACAAAGCACCAGTCCCACTGTGACCTCCACCGTGACCCTGAGTCTGAGTACTGGGTCAAGTTAGTTCCATATGGGGGGATCCTAGTTTACTTTCACGTACTGATTTTACTTGTCGAGCTCTGGAAACAGCTTGAACGCCCTCCTATAGAGTTCCATTGCCTTCATTGCCTTTCCTGATGCCTGTTAAGCAGAAAGAAATATTGTCACAAAAAATTTTGCTGTTGAAAAGACAACAGACATCACAGTGGTTACAAGAAAAGACAGCATAGAATAATTGGGCAATCAAAAGAAATATGTGAGGCAGCGTGGTGAAATCAGGCGCTCATCAAAATAATGAAAGTAAAGAAACTGACACTTTTTTCCCTGATTTGATGATTTTTATCGAAATTGTGTTTTTTGGCTTAACACCTTGTATGTCTATTTAAGAATCCATTTCAGTATAAATTATATTGAAAACCGTTAATCAAAGGTACCAAAAAAATGTTAATTGTCAGTTTCCATGGCTCTGAGGCTTTGTAAATAACCAAACTTTGACTGCCATTTTATCATTAATTTTACCTCTGAAACAAGGTGACTCCCACTTCATTCAATTGTAAATATCTCAAAATGTACTCAAGATAAATGGGTAATTCTTTCATTGAAAACTAGGCAAATGAACAAGTTTTAAGACAATACCAATAACTCCACCTGCCCAAAAACTGATGAGTGCCTGATTCCACTGCGTCATGACACATATCGCTGGTGGAGTGATGAAACCTCGTAACCCCAGAAAGGAAAATTTTACAGGAGAGACAAAAAACTGATTTACTCTTGAATAAATTGACCTATATGAACCAAAGTTGGTACAGATAGATAAAAACATGTTAGAAACGTGGTTAGTACATAAAAAAAAAAATTTCTATTGTTTATGTGGTTACGCTGTGGGATGCGAGGTTTCATTACACCATTTTTGTCGTGATGAAACCACGTAGTCAGCTGGTGGGAGGGTTGCGAGGTTTCATCAGGACAGAGTTTGAGGGTTGAGAGTTTTCTCGCTGCTCATTTTGGTTGCAGTATGCGTCTGATGTTTGAAACGCCACAAAGTGATAAAGATGTTTATTCGAAACTAATTGGTTTGAAGTTCGATTCCCGGCCAACTGAAGCCAAATAAATGTGTGTTACCTGCAGAATTTATGTTTGAATCCTCAAACGGATTGCAATTAATGCAAATTGTTTCATTATGATTTGCCAAGATTAGATCTGGTTACTTCCAGTTTTACTAAAATGCACAAATTAATAATAATCTCTGCAATATGGTCTCTGTTTGCACTACAGGTGGTTTTCATAAGAGATTTGAATCATAATGAACAACAATTAATGTTAATGGTATAAATTGTCATGAAGTGACGATGCATACTGGCAATAACAGATTTAAGCACTTGTAGGTGATTGTACTTTAACGTTTTGTGTAGAGTGGTGTGGCAGGATGGATCTTATGTTTCTGTGTCCTGCCTTCGGAACGGCAGCCCATTCATATTTGAGGTGTATCTTGAACTAAATGTTCATGTCTAGGATGTACTTCAAACACCTGACAATAGGATCACCCGTTTTTCTACCTAGTTTTATAGACTTGTCGTAGCTTCCACACTTAGAATATTCCTTGAAGAATGTGTCATCCGAATATTTGTTTTGATAAGTTTCTTATTTTGCTCTTGCCATCATGAAGAAATGGAGGTAGTCTTGGAGGACCTCGATGCATCTTTTTCGAAGCGATCTCTTAATAGTTGAGTTCACACTGTTAATTTCCCTATGTGTTTGTCATTTGATATAATGTTTTTGTTCAATTGTGCTTCCATGTGTTGTTGAAAACAGGCTGAGAGAAACATTTTCTAGTGTGGCATTTCTGTATTGGTAACCACAGTTGTCGCTGTCGATAATGGTTTTCTGGAAGTCCAGCTTTTCCTTCAGGAAATCCAAAAGACATGAAGCTAACTCATTTGTCATAAGTCCCCCTTCTGCTTCATGACACACGTAGAAAAATAGTCTGACGTGTTGCAGCATCCGATAGCGTAAAGTTATGAACGGCGAGTTTCGTTTTGTAATGTAAGGCTGATGCTGAAGATCCATTGAAACTACCGCCGTTTTAGGTTCATCGCTGGCTAGAGATTTGATGGCTTCAGATTTATCTAATTTCTTTTCTTTGCGCTCTTCCTCCTTTTCTAGAATGTGAGCATTCCAAAGATCCTCCAGCACTTTGTCAACTTCACGACTGATGCAAAGGTCGCACATAATATATATCTTTGACATGAATAGCGACATGTGATTCTGCTTGAATGCTTCATCCAGGCCGGGTTTGTTGAGAGGCCGCCTCCCGTGGTCTTGGCAGAATTGTATATTTTGTAGATATCTGAGTTGCTTTGATAATTATTGGTTCTAAGTTTCTTCCAAATCATTCATCCAACCCAGTTCAATTCAGGAACATCTTTTAACACGCTGGCACCTTATGGCCACCTTTTAAAAGTGTTCATAGAAGGTATTCCATCTCTGGTTAGTCTCTGAATACCTCCACCGAGGTCCACTAGTCATCTCATGAAAGGGTCCACACTAAATCAAAATTAGAATGTCTATCAACTTCAGAGAGCCCTTTACATTTCAGAGTCCAGCTCTTGCAATCACAGTTTGGTTTCAATAATTTAGCTGGGATTTTCATTGAACCTTTACGTATTCCGATCCTGTCCTGATCCACAAATAGCTTTTCGCTTATTTGTTGCCACTCCTAAAAACCCTTTCTTTTCCTCTGTGGAGCATCATTTATGCTGGCATCACAAATGGGCTGTGTCTCAGGATCAGGCTCCAGGAAAAGTGGCTAAGGTGCCTGAATATGGTCTACAGATCGTGTTGCTGTGACCTCGAAGGTAATAATTCAGCATCTGACTTACAGCTGCCTAGTGAAACGTCAGTATGGTTTGGGGTATGATTCCAGGCGACAACGGTGTTGGTGCAGACTCAGTCTGGGATGAAGCTGATACTTCCTTATCACTACATAACAGGAACAGCCCTGGAAAGGACTGCGACATGGTGGGTGGGGGTCAATTCATGGAACGTGGTCTGCTCAGTGGTTTCCAAACCAGCCCTTGTAGGGTATAAAGATCTAGGTGATGAGCACAGTTAGAAGGAGATATTCAATACAGATTCGGACATGTTCGTATTACTTCTGTTGTTGAGGCACACATTTGTCACAATGTCCTCTAAAGACTTCAGAGTCATCAACACCATGGTTAAGTTCAGTACTATTCGGTCTCCACCACAACTGGAGGATTCAACTACACAGCGGATTCATAGTCTGAGACTCCCCCGGGGCGGTGCCACTGACAGAAATGTCTTTAGGCCATTACCAAAGGGGGGGGGGGGGGGGGGAGGGAGAGACATTTCTCGTCTAGTGCACAGTAGAATTGTAAATGGACTGATCTAACAATGTCATGCTCATAACTGTGCCTGAACTACAACAGGAAACTGCTGCTTTTTCTGGTCCTAATCCTTACTATCGTCATTTTCCGCTACTTCTTCTGTATGTTTGTCACACTCTTGTGACCTGCTATTTCCGGGGTGCCTTGATAGTTGAAGCAGACTTTGTGCTGCTGAAGCTAGAGGGGCGAGCAGAGTAAGTCTGATTCCCTGTAAGGACTTCTCTGTTGACATTCAACTCTTGGCGCTCGTATGACCGTATGCAGTTGCGGGCGCCGTAAAACCTGTACTAAAACTAAAAATAGTCTGAGAAGATGCGAAACCTTACCCTCTCTTTGATAAACAGAATGGCCTGTTGACATCAGGAGAGTGCATAGATCTGTCACCTAGTCTTAGTAAGGACTACCGTCACCTGTCATTTCAAGGTGTGACTGTTGCCTTAACTTAAACGTTAACTACGTTTGTGCTCGATGAGAACATCTTGATTACCAGCACGTTAGTCATCTTAATGAATGGATTTTTAATATATTTACACAATGTAAGTACTTCACTTATGACCATATTTGAACTTCTGAACTGACTGAAATAAAGTGAATGAATAAAAGAATGAATGAATGTAAGGATGAATAAATGAATGAAATATTTCTTTATTCCGTCAGATACATTAAATGCACCAGACAATGTCAGTTATTGGTGCTTCAATTAAGCTAATTCATAAAGAAGGCTTATCCAGAACCTCGTATAAGCACGCTGCTCTTTCAAACCGGGAGTGATGAAACCACGCAAAAGCAGATCGACGCACCGGATGAGGGTTGCGAGGTTTCATCACGCCAGGATATCACGGGGGCAAACATACGAGTTTTTTTTATTAAGTTTTTTTCATAGGCTACTTTCTCTTACTAATTTAACCTTGTGCTTTTGACACATTGTGAAGAAAGACTGGGAGAAGACATTAAGCCAAAAAAACGAATTTAGTAAAAATTGAGGGTTACGAGGTTTCATCACTCCACCAGCGATATTTTACAACACCATTTTTATCTATAAGATTGGTATTACACAGAAGTGTGTGTTTGTTTGTTTGTGTGTGTGCGTGTGTGTGTCTGTGTGTGTGTGTGTGTATGTGTGTGCGTGCGCATGCATGTGTGTGTGTGTCAAGACCACTAGTCTTTGCTTTTTAATCAGACAAGAATAATATTTGAAAAGAAACTTTAAAAAAAAGAACAGATTTAACTGAAAAGCTGTATAGTGAGCATGAGTCCATGTGTAATAAAAATAGTAATACTAAGTGACACATGCGTCTTAGCTCTGTTGTAGATAAGCTCATTGGGGAACTACAAATGGGATTTATGAAAGGAAGACATAATATATCCTTAATTCACAAAGAGATTGGCGATATTTTACACATACACAAGACCACAGATTCATCAAAAATTATTCTTACTGTAGATTTCAAACAGGCATAAGATTCTGTAAACATACAATATCAAGAATCAATTATTTCTTTGTAGAAATTTTAGAAAACCTCCCTAACAGGCTAAAGCAGGGTCCTCTATATGTGAGAGAACACAAACAACAAAGGAAGACAGTTTGAGATGACTAAGACATCTGGAAAAGATTAAAGATTAAATAATCTCAAATCGAAGCAATGTACTGGATATCACAAAATGGAAAGCGAGCAAGAGGAAGACCTAGGAGCAAACAGAAAAGACTAACATGGAAATAGGGACAGAAATCTAGCCTAGAATATATAACTTTTTTGCGAACATTTCATGATAGCCATATTTGTCAAATTACATTTGAGAACATGAGCATCATGAAAGACACATATCCAAATTAGGATATAAGTGTGAAGGATGTAGGTGAAATTACTCAGTTTACAAAGCCTTACCTCTAGCCTGTCTGCCTCTTGCATTAGTTGCATTGCTTCCTGCTGTGCCTCTGACATTTGAGAAGCAGAGGTATTTTCATACATAATATCGGTTCTAAGGATGTACTTTTTGCCATCGCTGAAAAATATTCAAAAAGATTTTTTAAAACTACATTTTACACAAAACTGCCAGATGGACATAATAATAGGTGGGCTTTTTTTTAATACATGGAATTCGTGACACGTCAGTTATAGGGAAAGTATCTTCAGGAGTCATCCGCCCCTAAAAACACATATTATATTTCTGTGAATCACTGCCTGGCTCACTCACTCAGAGCACATTAGTATCAGAGGGGCTAGAGAGGTGAAAAGCATTTGTTTTAAACTTTTTATTAATAGTGCCTACCTCAAAGGCATATGTCCTATCTATGGGTAAGTAAGGGCTTAACTCCATGTAGTCCAGCCACTGTTTATACACCTTCTTCCTACCCATATGAGGAAACTTTCACTTCTCAAAGCTATTCAATAACACGTGACCCCAAAGCAAGTAGGCAGCGTGTGAAGGCAGCTTGCCATGATGCCTCTTAGGAATGATAAATTAACCAAGAACAAGAGTTATTATAATATATCTCATAAATGAACCATTTTCAAATTGTGAGGACAGCTGAAGTGCCTCTTTCCCCTCCAGCAGTGTCATAAAACACAAAAACAGAAATTATATCAAATCAGGCTTTTCAACAAAGAAACTAATTACTATACATCCTATTTAACAGGAATTTTGTCAAAGTCCTAAAGCCGCAAATTTATATAATCAATATCCATATGTTCAAAAAGAGTTTCTACTGAGTTTATTTGACTTGATCATTTCCAGTGAAATACTATTACAGAAAATAAATATTTTTCATTTCCAGAGTACTCAAAAAAGTCATGGGTATGTACTAAAACTAAACAAAAAGCAACATGCAAAAATTTTATGACGACTTCTTCATGGTCAACGGTAATGTACATACTTCGGAACAAAAATATCCCAGTTAGTAACAAACATACCCTAACTTCTCGCCCTCATGCAGTCGGTTGTGGTTAAAAATGATGGCCAAACCTGACTTAGGGTGGATACGACAGAGGACATTTTTCTCCTCAGCGCAGTACTTTCCATCTGGACCCTGAAAAATATAAAAAATTGGAAAATATAACTGTTGAAATGACTTTCTTCACCTGAACCATGGGACAAAGATCTGTAGCTCCAAACAATAACTGCCACAACAAAACAACTCTCAAAGAAAAAATAAGTGGCATACTCTTAAAACCAATTTACACAGTACTTTAACAATTTGAGTTAGGTTGATTTCTGCAATGACATGATTTATGTTTAAAATTTTAACATATTAAGTAGTGCAGACAAAATATACCAGTCTTGATAGTTAAAAGTAAATACAAAACACGACAAGAACATGTTTTCTGAAACTCAGATTCTATAGGTTACTGCATCTTGAACATTGTACAAACTACAGGGCAGAGACGGAGGCTCTAATAATATATATGCAGCAAACATCATCAAGAATGTGGTAGACCCCTAAAGCCAAGTAGTATTCCGAACAGATGCCATGTCAGTACTGCAGGCAATCACTTCCGGCAAACTACCAAGGCTACGAAAAGTAATTGAGGACATCCCATATCTGAGAATCATGCTGCAGTGGATTCCATCACACTGTGGTGTCTTAGGAAATGAGCATGCAGACAGGATGGCCAAATTAGGAGCACAGAAAGAGCAACCAGACAACAGCGTTAACTACACAGAAATAAAAACTATTATAAATAGACTATTTAAAGCACCTCAGACACCAGATGGCTACCATGAGCTGTCCTGCCAAGAACAAGTGATTATCTTCAGACTAAGGACATAACACACAAGACTGAGACAACATATGTACAAACGTTTTAAACTAGTACAATCATCAAAATGCCAGTGTGGAGAGGCGGACCAAACTGTTGAACACATCCTTCAGCACTGCAAGACACACAGGACCCTGAGACAGGAAACGTGGCCAACCCCACTGACGCTACAAGAGAAGCTATACGGGCTGAGAGATGAACTGAGCAGGACGGCCCAATTTATGACAGATATCAGACTTCAAGTGTGATGCGATTGAGAAGAAGAAGAAGACTGCATCTTTCAAACAATGTTTGGTTCAGCTATTTTCTTTTCAAAAAATGAAAAAGGTGAAGATATATATGTGTCATGACGTGGTGGAATCAGGTGCTCATCAATTTTGGGCATGTGGAGTATGATGTGAAAGCTTATTTATTTGCCTTGTTTTAAATAAAAAAGGATACCCACCTCTTTAACAGAAGTTGAGATATATATCTAAAATTTGCGATTGAAAGAGATCAGCCGGCCTGTTTTCAGTGGTAAAATAAGCGCGAAAATTGCCACCAAAGTTTGGTAACTTCAATAGCTTGAAAGTCTTTTAAAACAGAAAAATTACATATTTTGTGACTTTTTCAGTAAAATTCACAAGGAAATGTGTTTTTATATATGGACACAAAAGGTGTTTGGTTAAATAACAAAAATTCAATAAAAATGCCAAACTGGTAGGAAAATGCCTGTTTCTTCAATTTCTTAATTTGAAGAGCACCTGATTTAACCATGATGCCTCAGGTCACATTTACCTTAAACAAAACCTGTGATGGGTCAATGAAATTAGTGCTTCCTCCTGAGAAATCTCCATTTAAGTAGAGCATAAATGTCTGCAGAGACCTCTCTGACGCTGATCGAACAAAATATCCGTCATTGTGCGGGGCAAAGTGGCCGGTGGGGAAGTATCTGCACAGTCGAAAAACCTGGTTGAAAGACACACTTGATTCTTTTAAAATGGGACAGGTGGGGAAATTCAAAAGTCAATTTTTAAAAAAGGATGTTTTACTCATGGTTTTCATAAATAAAAAAAGAAAAGATATACACTTTTAATGCCACTGCATTGCTTATAGTAATTATGGAAGTTTCTAAGAGGCAAGGAAAAAACCCCCCGATACATTTCTCACTGTTGCAACCTACTGTCGGCTTCATCATCAACATAAAAACTACAAATGCCTTGCCACAGCCCAGACCCTCTTTGAAACAAGAATAATAAGTCTTGATCAGGACACACTGCAGAGGTCTTCAATGGAAATTCTTTCTCTGTGCTCTATATATATTTCTATATATTGTGGAAAGGTTCATTTAGGGAAGAGACTTAAGTACAAACTAGGGTTCTAAACAATCACAGATTTACAGCTCTAGATCTGAAGAAAGATGGACTTCTTTGAAACTCCAAGTTGAAAACAAAACCAAGGAAGTAGAGAACAGATTATATGTTAGTATCGAATATAAAAATCTTTTGCTCACATTATGGACACTTAAATACTATTGCTTACATCGTTGAGACCTTTTGGCACCCAGGTTCCTTGCATGAGAGAAGTCACACCTTCAATGTGTATACTGTGAGGGTCACCGTCAATAACAATGTCTTTCAGATGTCCTTTGATGCGCTTCCATAATAAATCTGCCAGCTGTGGGCTTTGAAAGGATATTCTGGGGGAAAAAAAGAGCAATTTACTTTTGAGATCCCATAACAAAAAGGACAGGCTATGACCTACAGTCACATATAAGGTGAAACGCAACTCTAGCTTTAAAATTATTTGTAAAAGAAATAATAAATTCAAATGATAAAATTGAATGATCTACAAACTCTCTTAACTGGCCAAAACTATTGATATTATTCCCTATTAAAATCTAAGTTTTGTTGTCTTTTTGTTTATGTTTTACCGTGCACGCAACTGCATAAGGTCATATGAGCACGCCAAACACATTAAACATTTTGAGTTGGTAGGAAATTTTGAATTTTGCTCGGGTGGTGGTCGAAACCTACTCTTATCAATGTTGGACCACCAGCAATCTTTAATGTGCGCAACTGCACACGGGACCTCCAAGATTTCTTTTCGCTTTTATCCGAGAAGGCTAGGTGTAAATCTTACCTACCATAAGATCAGGGGCTTGGCTGAAAGACAGCAGTAAGAAGGAGCCAAGGATTAGCAGGTCAAAGGATGCAGAACGAGTCAGGACCTCAGAGGAGGGGGCAAAGGAGGTGAGGGGGTGTAGGCAGAAAATGGAGGTGAAAGCAGACAACGGAACATTATTGTTAAAGAGCATGAAAGGATGTGAAAGGAGAGAACTTTAGAGAAAACATTTTTCTGGTGCTATCCCGATTTGAACCCGGGACCTATTGAATGAGAGGCAAGCCTTAACCTCTAGACAAATATATATAGATCCTCCCTAATCCAAGTATGAATTGGCCCCGTATCTTAAACTGCCAGCACAATGCTAAATATTAATGGGCTAGCACACAAAGGTTACCTTTGGGAACTTCGATAACTATCTCGAACAAAGCCAATGGCTTCAAAGCCTTCAGTTTCTCCCTCTTGAATGAAGTGTTGGCATTCCGTCTCTGTTAGGGTGTTTGCCAGCAAAAAACATTCATCTCCATAGTCCATCACCTCCTCTCTGTGCACCTGGCTTTGGGAGAAACTTTCATCTTCCTTAAGTGGCGGGAGAACCTTGAGATTTCCTCCATCTATCTGCAGTTGCCCCGACTCATTTGTTTCTGCTTCTAATCCAGGCACAAAGGCTTCTGAGACTGACTCAGACATTGGGATAGAGGACGATGTGACCTGGCCAGCAAAAGCAAAAATAAGCCTTTTAAAAAATCTGGACACTAAAGAAAAAACACAGTTTATTATCAGCATACAAGTAATTTATTTAGTATCTAGATCTAGTATCTACTAGAATCTACCAGAAAGTAACTCTATCCTAAATGATATAACCTCCACTTGGTAACAAAAAAATCAGAGGCCTTCAAAAACTCACACAAGCTCTTCACAAATTCACAAACCATTGCTTATAACATACATCCAAGTACATGTTATGCTCGCCCCCCCCCACCACCTTCTCAACTTTCTTCCTTACTCTTTCTCTCTCCTGCTCATCTCATATAGATCTAGATCTACACTCACAGCACTCAAACTATAATTATTGTTGTTTCCTTGACTTGATGCCATGCACTTTACACTTTACTTACGAAGTCGAACAGTTTCAAACTGTTTACACTTGCACTTAACCACTGGAGGCGGAGGTGGCAATCACTTTCTCAGTTCAGGTCAACAGAAAATCTAGATCTAGATCTATATCTAGTTTTTCTAGATCTTTATTCATGTCATTTCTTTACTTGCATCACGACAAGCAACCATTCGTGTTTGTTTATCCATTCTACTTCCTGCAGACTTTTGAAAATCCCAGACACCCCAAATATAGTAGGTGTAAAAAAATCCGTTGCTATTTTTGGTTTCATTTATGTCTCTGGCTCAGGCCAGAGACCGTAAATTATACCGAGACGGTGCAATCCTTCTTCGGCCTTTGTTCGCTATCGGAGAATCGAGGTCAGCGACTGCGCGCGTTGCTTTGCGCATTAATGAGCTCTTACAACACACGAAGTGTTACTATAACACGAGCTGTGGGGTGACCAGTTGGCCCTATTACAAGTTACTAGTTGTAAGGGATCAACTCAAACATTTATATTAGTAGCACAAGACATGTCCTGCATAATAAACTATTATTCGTAAGAACTGGATTTAAAGAATTATTATCAAAACGAAGGCAAAGATCATAAACATAATAATATAATATTAAAGTTCATGCAACATTTGATCTTAACTAAGGTCTAGAGTGTACTCTGAATGCCGTTAGTACAATAGGCAGTAGGTAGTGTTCAAAGAATAAATAAGAAAAAGAAAACAGACCAAAAAAGAAAAAAACCCAACAACAACAAACCAAAAACAAGCAAACAAACAAATAACACAACATGTTTGAAACAGGCAAATAATATTCACAACATACCTTTATCACTTCATCAAAATCAGGCACAGCCAAAGCTATCACTTGTAGAAATGAAAGGCTATTGGTGAGAAACTTTAATAAACTTTCTGTTCTTTTTGTTCTTTTCCTGCTGAATGGCTTCATTTCTTGTATTA